AAACACCGAACTGACGGTAAAACTTGGTAAACATGGTACAGTTTTCCAGTTTGAAATCATAGGGATTAAAAACTGTGCCAGGTAAATAAAAAGGCTAGGAATACATTCGCGGAAGATAGCCATCTTCTCTGAGTCAGGCAGCACTAAAGGCTCGTGCGAGGTAAAGGGAAAGAGTGTTTGGAATTGCATGGAGGCCCTGACAGAAGTCAGTGACACAAATGGCCTGACCCCTGGCCCCCTCGGGGCATAGAGGCAACGAACAGGGTGACATGTTGGCCAAAGAAGGAGCCAACACGGACTCTCTATATCCTGAATCCTACTGTGGCTTAGCAGCCTGGCGCAAAAGTGGATGCATCTTAAAATGGATCCTTAATGAGCCCAAAACCTGGTGGAACAATACGCGAAGAGATTCATAGAAGGGTCATCCGCAAAACTTACAAAGGAAGGCAACCGCAACCAGGATTCTGGTTGGACTCCTTCGCTTAAGAAAGCATGTGCACCGGATAGGAGTGCAGACTGAAGAAACACTGAACAGACACGGCCATAAAGAGAAGGAGACAACAGAGCACATTTTACAGGTTTTTTATGAAGGTCTTTGCAATTTGGGCAGGAAAAACCACAAGCAAGATCCTGCACTAAGGAGCCGCTGGCAAGACTGGTTGATTAACAACCTGAAGCTGGCCGGTGAGTTATGAAAAAACTGGGGAACACAATAGATCTACTCAGGTCGAGGTGCTGAAAGCTTTGCGGCCGCCTCTTTTAAATTATCGTTTTTGTTATTAATGGAATCGTACTATTAAATACGAAAATAATTATTATTACTATAAAATTATTCAGAAATCGTGAGATGCGGTCTGGTGTGATGTAGGTTTCAGAAAAACATTTTCTTTATCATGCCAACGTTTCGATCTTGATTGAGATCGTCTTCAGGGCCTGGGATTTACAAACATTGTTTAAGTTTAACAAATACATACCCTTAAGTTTAACAATACATAATAAAGATCGAAACGTTGGCATGATAAAGAAAATGTTTTTCTGAAACCTACATCACACCAGACCGCATCTCACGATTTCTGAATAATTATCGACTAACGGTCACTAATCACCAAACATTACTATAAAAATTCAATAATAATTACTGTGATAAATTTTATTTATAATTTATAGTAATAATTAATTACTATAATATTACTTATATTATTATAACATAGGGCAAAACTCTTAAAATTACTTATGATTTACTTCTGATTTTAACACATGTACAAGTGGTCGACTTAATGTAAGGAGAACTTTGTGTATGCGGAGTGTAAAGGATAATTTATAAAATGTATGTTGGCCGAAAGATGTATCATGATCAATCTGTTCGATTTTCATAGCTCGCCACGTTGTAACGGACAGCATTTTTTCTTTGTCTTTATGTCCTTACTTGTCAAAAAGACAAACAACCTATTTAACAACCTTCATTTAATTTATAAGTGGGAAAGTACACAGTAACGGGAAAGCGTGTAAATTAAAATTCTGTCGACCTAAATATTGTATATTTTCGGCGGATGAGATTTGAAAGAAAATCGCAGAACTACATTGGTTCGAGACAGGCTGAAACACACATTTTCAAGATGGAAATTCGTCCGATTTCTTACGGCTAGTCAGTTGTCATTGCCCTTAAACGGCAGATGTCTCCACGGCTGGGAGATATTCCAGATATTATCTAACTGGACGAAAACTACACTTAACGACTGTCATAAAAACTTCTCCAACTTTTCCGTTTAATTAATTATTGCCGCTGCATGCATTAACAACATTGTCGGCAGAATATGCATTTAAGTTTTTATCCCAGGCTACGGTAGGATTAAACGGTATATCTAAATTATAATAAATATAATTATATAGATAAATAAAGAAATCGAGCATTAGTGTAAGGGACACATGCACATAGTTTACCATTTTATCATTATATCTTGGCTCTTGATTAGTACACATCGTGCAAAAATGAGCAAGTACCCGATGTGTCTGAAAGGATTTGCCCGCAGCAAAGGACTGAGGTATTTGTAAAAACCTTTTTCATATACAGTGCGTTTTTATCGAAATATGACTATTTGTGCCTTAAAGAGACAAAAAATGAGTGGTTTTGTGAAACGTGTTTGAAGGGCGGGCAACAATTGCGTCGGTTTGAAGAAGCTGCGGAATCACAAAGTCTGTCGGAACTCGACAAGGTAATTTTTAGAGACAGTATTCAAACGCAGGTCTTTGAAAAAAGTTTATATCACTTTACCACACTTGAGAAACAACATACGACAGCGATAACCGACATCGGCAGCAAGATTGAGTCATTGCAAGACTAGACGAAATTACAAGCGAAAATATATCAATGAAGAAACAATTCTAACAGTAAATAATAAAAGAATAACGATTTTGAACAGAAGTACTTGGAAAATCAGATTGAAATCCATCAGGTGCCATTCACAAAAAATGAATAATTAATTGTAATTGTTCAAAACCTTCAAAATAAAACTGGCTGCAATATTTCGGAAATGGACTTGAATAAATGCTATCGTATGAAACCTAACAAGTTAGGAAATTGTCCAGGAATCATTGTTGTTGATTTGGTTCGAAATATGAAGAAAAAGGATTTAACTCGTCAACTTAAATCACGTCAAGATATATTTTTAAACAGAGCTCTATGTTACATAGACGGAGACAAAAATCAATTTTTACATTAATACGACAATGACTTTGCAACATAGAAAATTATTTCGAGATGCTAAAATCATAAAAAAAGAGAAGGGACATAAGTATATATGGCTAAATAGAGGGACATAGTTTATACAAAAAATGAAGATACTAAGAGCTTTATTGTTATATCAAAAGGTGACTTAAAGAACTTGTAAAAACATTGTGCGTTTAGTACATGAATAAAAGAAAAGTGTTATTACTTTAAGTTAATGATATTGCTTATAAAAAAAATTGAAGTTAGTAAGAGCATTGTTGTTAAGTCACTAGGCGACTTAAAGAACTTGTAAAAATATTGTGTGTTTAGTATATGAAGAAAAGAACAGTGTTATTGTTTTAAGTTAATGACTCTGTTTATAAAAAAAACTGAAGATAGTAAGAACATTGTTGTTAAGTCACAAGGTTACTTAAAGAAAATGTAAAAAACATTGTATATTTATCATATGAAGAAAAGAATAGTGTTATTACTTTAAGTAAATAATATGGTGTTAAGAAATCTAATATTTGACAATATTTATAAATTTAATTTATCTGTCGCGCATAACAAAGTAGAATGTATTCATTCATATTGTTTTGAATTTTGCAATGTATTTAATAACCAAATATTTGATGTAATTGCCATATCAGAAACATTTATACCATCATCTGCCTACCATAATTATCTCTTAATAAGAAATGATAGATCAATCACTAGAAATGTTGGAGTAGCGTTGTACATTAAAAAATCTCAAGTTTAAAATTTTACAGATATCAACCTGGAGATTATAATATGACAACAGAAGTTATTCTAAGTGAGGTTGAGGTAAAAAATAAAAAAATCATAGTAGGGTTATTCTATAGGCCTCCAAAAGTAGGTTTTATGGCTGAATTCTTTAATATAGTAGAATCTTTTATTTTGAATTGTCAAAACTATAATAGTTGGAGATTTCAATGCAAATATAAGCTCAAATTTTTTGAATATTGTGCTGAAGAAGTAATTAAGTTAAAAAAAGAGCTAGGATTAAAGATTCTGCCAACAAAACCTACTTAAACAAAGTTGCTGTCAATCACTTAGCGACTTATTAAATTCACTAGTTTTCGTGGTCCGCTTGACCAATTAATATCTTTCAATTAATTAAGGTTTTTAGTTGAGATAAAAAGTCAGTGTCACGAGCGGGATTCGAACCCACGATCTTCGGCTAGATATGCCGCTGCTCTACCACTTGAGCTATCGTGACCTCGATCCACTCGGACACTAACTTCCCATCTCAACCCTACCTTTTAAATTTTCATTATTAAAAAAAATTGCGAAAATGAAGGAATAACTTTTTCAATTAATTAATCTTTATGTAAGGTATTGGTTGAGTTAAAAAAGTTAGTGTCATGAGCGGGATTCGAACCTACGACCTTCGGGTAAATACGCCGCTGCTCTAACCACTTGAGCTATCGTCACTTCGATCCACTCGGACACACCAACTGAAAAATGGCAAAAAGGAGGGAAAATTCAAAAGGTAGGGTTGAGATGGGAAGTCAGTGTCCAAGTGGATCGAGGTCACGATAGCTCAAGTGGTAAAGCAGTGGCGTATCTAGCCGAAGATCGTGCGTTCGAATCCCGCTCGTGACACTGACTTTTTGTCTCAATTAAAAACCTTAATTAATTGAAAGATCACTTAGGAACATTGGACCGAGCAACAAAAAAACTTACCCTGGTTCGGAAGTGTGTGATTAATTATGAGGATAGGGTAAATTTTAAAATTCAAAACAAGGAAATTAACGCAGCAAGAAACGCGTTTATCTAACATTTTGTTTACAAAACATGATAGAGATGTACTTAATACGCACGACGGTGTAATTTTGTTTATTAAAACTCCCGACTTAATCAATGGTCTCTACGATCTGTTATGAGATTTCCATAAAAACATTAGAAAACCACATCACGCTATAGATCTCATTTGAGTAACAGCGCTGACTAATTATGACATTTATATTCCTAGCCTCCCATGCAATTAGTTTCGTTTGTTGGTTATTAAATAAACGAAATGACGAATCGCTACTCGTTAGCGAGAGAGGAAATTGGATAATATTATTCTTGGAAGTGGTGGAAAATTTTTTCGGCCAGTTCCATTCGCAGGAAAAGCTTTTCACCCACATCCCATTTGGACTATACACGGTTTTCTGTTTGGTCACTTCTTCATCATTAGTTTTCTTTGTTTACTACAAACCTTTGTTATGTCATAGCCATACACGTGTAAAAACGTGAGAATATAACTATTTATATGTGTTTTTTACAGAGATTGGATATCAGGGGAAGGATAAAAGTGCTCCACGGGCAGAACAGGAAGACTGAAGAGCCGCCGCTGGCACTGTTCGCGCTGTGCACACCTTTCGGTCCACCATCTCTCCTCGAAATACCACACAAGGAGGTCATGTTCAAAAGTAAACACAAGCTCGACCTTTCTCTGGTATCGATGGATCAGAGGGGCAAGATGCTCCTCGGCTATTCTGACGCCGAACTCGCCGATATGGGAGGATATGATCTAGTCCATTTCGATGATCTCGCTTACGTCGCAAGCGCTCATCAAGAATGTAAAACGTCGTTTGTTTTATCAGGTGACCCCGAAACCAGACTTATGTTCTTTTTGTTTGCAGTGTTGAAGACAGGCGCCTCGGGGATGATAGCATACCGCTATCAGAGCAAAGAAGGGCAGTGGCAATGGCTTCAAACGAGCTCAAGGCTCGTTTATAAAAATTCGAAACCCGATTTTGTTATCAGCACTCATCGACCTTTAATGTAAGTTTAACACCCGTTAATAAATAGCATAATTGGCAGGTTAGTATTCCCTAAACTTACATACATCAATTCTTACTAAACTATGCAGTAGTAACATGAGTTAGTCATTAAGTAAAGACTTTGTAGGACATATATATTCATACTAGGAATCAGAAATACAAGCAAATAAAAATCAAACACTTAAGTTGATATGGAAAAAATTGTTTTTAAATGTAGATAAACACACTTTCTAGAAACAAATGTTATTAAAAACTCTTAAGAATTAAGCTTCTTGGTGATACATGGAGGTAGCAGTACTATAGTACGAAGACATGCGATGTAACTTACTTTTTGAACTCGGGCTAAGGCTAACTTAAGTAGGAATTTATAACAGAATAACATGGAACCTATTGTATCTATTCTATTATACAGGTCGATTAAAAAAAAAAAAAAAAAAAATCTGGGAAAGGATCGAGAATCGGACCATGGTCTATGCGAACTTTTTTGTTGCATTTGATGTGTAGAGGCACTTGATGAAATTTTACGTATGAGTCACCCTGTATAATAATATTGAATGAATACAATGGGTCCATGTTATTCTGATATCAATTTTTACTGGAGTCAGGCTTAGCCCGAGTTCAAAAAGATTCGCATGTCTTCGTACTTCAAGTACTGCTACCTCTAGCATCTATCACAATAAAGCTTAATTCATAGGAAGTTTTATGCTTTTGATAGTGTATGTCAGCCAGCGTCTGTTTATCTACTATTTAAAAATATTTTTCCATATCAACTTAAGGGTATGATCCTTATGTGTTTATATTTCTGATTCCTAGTATGAATGGATATGTTATCCATTTTTTTTTCATTTACTCAAAAATGAAAAGGTCAAGAGCTAGGAGTGGATTTATGACGAGAATAGCAGATAGTTGGAAAAATGTTTTTTTTTTTTTTTTTTTTTTTTTTTTTTTACTATCTGGAAAAGGATCGAGGATCGGACCAAGGTCCAAGCGAACCTTTTTGTTGTATTTGATGTGTAGAGGCACTTGATGAAATTTTACGTATGAGTAATGAATCACCCTGTATAATAATATTGAATGAATACAATAGGTCCATGTTATTCTGTTATCAATTTTTACTGGAGTTAGGCTTAGCCCGAGTTCAAAAGAATCGCGTGTGTTCGTACAAGCTTAATTCATAGGACGTTTTATGCATTTGATAGTGTCTGTCAGCCAGCGTCTGTTTATCTACTTTTTAAAAATATTTTTCCATATCAACTTAAGGGTATGATCCTTATTTGTTTATATTTCTGATTCCTAGTCTGAATGGACATGTGTGTTTTCCATATTTTTTTTTCATTTACTCAAAAATGAAAAGCTCAAGAGCTAGGAGTGGATTTATGACGAGAACAGCAGATAGTTGGAAAAATGTTTTTTTTTTAATATCTGGGAAAGGATCGAGAATCAGACCATGGTCCATGCGAACTTTTTTTGTTGCATTTGATGTGTAGAGGCACTTGATGAAATTTTACGTATGAGTAATGAATCACCCTGTATAATATATTGAATGAATAGAATGGGTCCATGTTATTTTGTTATCAATTCTTAATGGACTTAGACTTAGCCCAAGTTCAAAAGAATCGCATGTCTTCATACAAGTACTGCCACCTCTAGCATCTATCACAATAAAGCTTAATTCATAGGAAGTTTTATGCTTTTGATAGTGTCCGTCAGCCAGCGACTGTTTATCTACTTTTTAAAAATATTTTTCCATATCAATTTAAGGGTATGATTCTTATTTGTTTATATTTCTGATTCCTAGTATGAATGGATATGCCTCTTTTCAATATTTTTATTTATTTATTCAAAAATGAAAAGTTCAAGAACGACGAGTAGATTTATGACGAGAACAGCAGATAGTTTTAAAAAAATATCTGGGGTCGAAAATTGGACCAAGGATTATACGAACTTTTTTGTTTCATTTGATGAGTAGAGGCAAGTGAAGAAATTTTTTGCATGAGTAGTGAATCAGCCTGTATATTTTAATCCCGTAAAATGTTATCCATAAAGCAGAAATCTCTATCTTTATCTAATTCAATAACTAAGTCAATGAGTAAATGGGGTTAATTAGCAAAACTGATTAAAGTTCGAGAAGGCGCCGTTAAATAAGGCGCGCGCTGGTGTGGTCGCGAAACCAATAAGGAAAATAATTAAATAAATTAAAATAAAATAAAACCCCAATACCTGAGGTGGAACGGGTATGTAGTCCTCCTCGCAAATCTTATCGGAATCCAGCTAATACAGCATCTAAACCCTCAACATAATCAAGAATAATATGCTTAGAATTACCACGATACCTGCTAGGTTCCGTCCGAACCTTTTCTACCAGCGGCCGGCGGATTTCACTCCCGATGATTTTAATTAGAAAAAATTAAACCGAAAATAACTTATGCGTCTTAAAGCAAGTTATGCTAACACTTCTCACTTTACGCGCGGAAGCAGGAAGCAAAGAAGTAAGTTCCTCATCGGTAGCGCGAGAGCAAGTCACGACAGGAGCAAGATACGCGGGAAACTGTCTCTTAACGGCCCGTTTTAGGATAAGGGCGCAAAGGATTCTGGGCAACATTTCAACGGAAATATGAACCTTTACGATTGGCGTAAACAGTGTATGAAAATTTATTAACGAAACTGTCAACTCGATTATTAAAACAATTTTCCAATTTGTTTTTAAAAAAATTAACGCAACTTAACTGTATTTTTTAGGATTAAACAGTTTATAAAAATATATATTATTGAATGTTTTTGATGTGTGTTTAATGAAATTTCTGTTTTAGGGAAGAAGAAGGCAGAGACCTGTTGGGAAAGAGAACGATGGACTTCAAAGTCAGCTATCTGGACGCGGGTTTAACGAACAGTTACTTTTCGGATAGTGAGTTAGTCGGTCCAGGAACGCAGACGGGTACGTCACAACCGTCGACGCCGCAGAGGGTGAACCGGAGGTACAAAACGCACCTCCGCGACTTCCTTTCTACGTGTCGGACAAAGCGCAAGCTTTCGTCGCACAACAGTTCAGCTGTTGTGCCTCCAGAGACGAGCGACTTCATCGTTCCGGATTCCGCTGCTGCCGTCGCTGCAGCGTACACCAACCTCAACATGTACAGCGGGTCCTACCCGACGACAGCCCCTCCGGAGAGCTACATGGGCCACTCGGGCAATTTTCACCAAAGCATATACGACAACAGATTCCTCTCTTCGACGACTGAGAACCTTTTCCACCAATACAGGCCCCTTGGGACATACTACCCCGATTACCATTCGACGGGCTCGTACGTCTCGAACGGGTTCCTGGACATGTCGCCGAGAAGTGCGGCCGCGACGTGCCTCCCCACGTACGAGCCGAACCACACCGTTCACCAAATAGGTAAAAGTGATTGTGATAAGCTGTACACTTGTCATCAGCCGCTGGAACAGAAGTACGCCACGGTAATAGACAACACGCGTTATAGCAAGTGCCTCGACATGGGCGGGTATCCCGTAACTCCCTCGTTGCAAAGTGTGGTTGCAGTGCCTTTGTGCGATTTACAACACAAAAAGAGTGTTAAATCAATGGACAACCTATCCTCGTCGAACTCGGCCGGTTCGTCGCCGGCCGGCGGTGTCAACGGAATCGTCAAGATCGAGGACATGAAGGACGTCGGCCTGATGCAGCACTACTCGCCTGCGTCGAGCGAACCGCCCAGGCAGACCGTGTTGATGTGGGGCAGCGGAGCCGTGCACACTCCCAACTCCTCCAACAGCAGATCACCTCAGGGCAACTCACCGACTGCCAACTACCAAGACAAGAAGTTCGGAGACCCTCTCAAATCCCTTGCGGAAATGAACAATCTCGCCGAGAGCAAGTGGAAACCCGAAACACCACCGCATATACCCAGCCCGAAGTACAGCCACTATCAGTATAGTGAGCATGGCCAAGAGGTATGGCCTCACCAGATCTATCCTTACCACCAGTGAGTCACTTTGTCTTATTCACCCAGTAGGTTCATTTCTCGTTTTTTATTTTCTGTTTTCCCATCAGAATAAGAAGTTGGGCCGTGCTATACCCATCCCATAAAAAGGATCTTCATATATATACATATATAGCAAACCAATTTTTAAATTTGAATAATTTGTCAATTCCGTAATATCAATGTAAACTTATGTTTTGTCGAGGGTGGTAATAAGGAAAGAATTGTACTGGGAAGAATGTAATGCATGATTTATTTTTCCAAACTGCATGTATGTTGTTTTGTAGCCTTACATATAAAATAGTATACTTAAAACCATAAACCATTTAATCAAAACATAAACTCTGTTCCATAAGTTATAAATAAAATAATAAAAAATTAGCACTTAGCGTATAAAATAATGTTGCAAAAAACACTTTGGTGGGTGGTATGTTGTACCGCCAATAATTACAATCTGCATAAATACATATTATAGAATGTCAAATAGTATCAGAATGTAATGCTCAAGATTGTAACACTATGGTGTTTATAAATGAGCCCGTTTCTCTTCTTCATTGAAGAATTCGTTCATCTTGTAATCATGTACGCCAGTCTGAGTCGTGAAAAGCGAAATCCTGATTTAATTCCGACATTTGGTCCAGTTTTGAGTATTTATCATCACAGATAAACCCTTCAAATATTATAACAAAGAGTATTTTTATTAAATAAAAAAACTTAAAACAATTACATAGAAAATTGAATGGTTTATGGTTTATAGTTTTATAAGAGTTTTATTGTTTTGCATTTTTAATGTAATACTATATTTTATTTTATTATATTATCTGGTTTAAAAAGGTACCTTTTGTTTTGTTTTTTATTTATTTTTGTTTGATTTATTTATTTTCGCTTGCTTACTTGTATTTATTTATTATTAGTGCACAACACGCCAGCACTTGCGTACTGTTGATTTTTTTTAAATATAATACATGGAAAATGGAACTAAGGTAAATTCCAATTTTCTCTTTTGTCCAAACTGGTACCTTTCTAATTCAGATTCAGTGGTTTTCCTAAAAAGAAATAGTTTTCTCACTGTAAAAATCATTTGGTACCGTTTTCATTTCAGGCCGGGAGGGGAGTGCGGATACCCTCAGATAAACAGGACGGGAGTCCTTTGCTGTCCATCTCTCAGGTGACAAACACCCTCCTCAACCAGTAACACATGGTAAAAAAATATTATTTTATAAATAAGAATATATATTAAATGTTTAATTATATGTTGCAGATAAAACATGATGTTCGTAAACCTGAAGAAAGTCCTGGGTTACATGCTTTCAGTATATATATAAACTAAAAGAGCTTTTAATAATCATCATTCATTATATTTGTCATCAAATTCTAATAAGATTTTTTCAAAGAGAGAAAGAAAATGTTCTTATGATTTTTTTCATGTTTTTTTTTTTTATTTGATCTTTTTTCATACATAGTTAAAAATTAACGTGTAATATTATCCTTATATGTGTGTTTTTCTGTGATAAGTGTTGAATTATTTTAGTATTATTATTTTTATTGATGTGATTGTATTATATAGTTACTTGTAATTTAAAAACAACAAAAAATATGTATTTAAGTTATGTGTCTCAAAATGTAAATTTGTGTAGATTTTTAAAGTATCTTCCTATGATGAAAGAAGATGAAGAGAAGGAGGGGGAAAAAAGAAAATCAAAATATTCCAATTGTCTATATTTGTGCAATTATTTATAATTAATTGAATAATCTATAATTAAATTGTAATGCAAAATTTTATGGAAAACATGATGTTGAAAGCCAAGTTAGTACAAAAATTAATAAATAACCACTATTTTAATTTATGTTAGGACGGGGGAGAAAGAATGACGGCTCGTTTATTTATCAATTACGTTTAATTTGAGCTGCCATCGCACAAAAATACATTTAAAAAAGGGAGAAGCATTCAATCAAAAAAATATATTAAAAATCAAACGTTTATTTCCCACATTTATTTTGGCTTTCAACAAATTGTCGCGCTATTTTATAACGATGAAAGTGTGTAAATAATTCAAGAGCTATCTTCCGGTTCTTTTAAAAAAATTAATAATAATAATGAGAATTAAGTTTCAAAAGTCGCCTCAAGGGGATTTTATTTAATTATAATTTAATAAAATTGAATGCTTTAGAAACAAGTGTTTTATTTGTTACAACCTTGTCCTTACGATTTGCGAATAATCAAAACAGGTTCTGTTTAAATTTTTATTTACAGTGGGGAGCTTCAGGCAGAAGCTTTTTGACGATGCCATGACTCCTACGTTAATATTTGATTTAAAAAAAATCCCAAATTAAAATACCTGGTAGAGCAAACTGGGAGTCTAGTTAATGCTGACCGTATCCGGTATACAGATAGCCCCAAAACTGAGTACGGGTCTGATATTAACGGAAATAAACCAAGGATTTATTCATATAAGCCTTGGACAATATTCCGTCTTTTCAGCAGAGACTGAGGCGATTGAAAACTCATTGACAATGCAGGACAGCTGAAAACAGATTAATTCTAAAAATAAGCATCCGTGAAAGCATAATTTTAAGAACAAGTAAATATAATAAAACCTAAAATGTTTATGGGCTCAAAAATTAAAAGAGGAAAAATAAGATGTAATATTTATAGAAATTTATTACAAATTAAATTTCATAATGATGATTATAACATAACCATAAAAAGTATATGAGATGGTTATTGAACAATGTTTTAATTATACTTGCTGAGTCGCTGAAAATATCCTTTATTTAGACTATCAAAATACATTAAGCATTTCCACACTTTTATAAATGCTTAAGAATCATTTTGCATAACCTTATTCTGAAAAATAATTTAAAATATAATTAAATATATAAAACAGTTTTTCATTTTCGCCATGAGATATGAAATAAAACCAGAAAATTTACAGTAGACTTTTTTCTCCATCTTAATATGTACAAGGTATATAGACACAAAAAAATCTATATAAGTTTAATCACAATGTATAACATGCTGTGTATAACAATCTTATAGTATCACAAGAGACAGATGATTATGAACCCTGATTCGGGGAAATGGAGTGCATTTCAATGGTCCAGTATCCTCAGATTACCCGAAACAATTTTATTCTCTAGCAAAGCCCCGGGTGGGATGTCGATCCTGTCTCCATGATTCGCTATTATCAGTACTGTGCCCTGAAAACAAATTATTGAAATTTATTTTATTTTATTTTTTGCAAAGTGCGATTACCTTCAAAATGACGCCTTTTCCAAATGTTACATCTCCAGACACAGTCAAATGATCGAGCTCGAGGATATCTGGTATTGCGTTAAATCTTGAAAGGAACTCACTAACCTTAAATATGAAATGACAATTTTTTTTTCTTATAACAAAAACTGACGATTGGCAACATACCTTTGAGAAATGATTATCACCCAACTTGACGAGCGGAGTCGTTGGGAACATTCTATTAGGAGACATGACCAAACTACCGTGATTCATAACGTACAGATTTGACATAACTAGAAGTAAATCCGATGTCTTTTTTACAGGCAAAAATCTACTCCTTGGAACGTTTATACCTAAATAAAATGCCAGATTATTAAATAAAGTTGTGGGAAATATTGGGCTGTCAAGTCCATAGCATTTTTCAATAATTCAATGTTATCCTCTTTTGTTTTTTTTACCGCAAAGGGAAAACTGCAGCTGGGGAGAAAACAGCAGTAAGTGTTTTGCCTAGTTCAAAAGCAGAAATTTTGATTTGGAAGATGCAATGCATTCCAGTTGTTCTTCAATCAGTGATGAGGACCAAATTCAAGCTTTTGTCTCAAATAATCAATATACAATGGCATGAGACATCACAGAGATATAACAGCTTACTTGAAGTAACAACCCCTCCACAAGAAGAAAATGTAAATAAATAAAAACAAGCAATTAAAAACTTAACTGCTAAAAATAAGGTCAGACCTTATCACTTGAGAAAAAGGGGTTAGTTAAACTAACATACCTATATAATACTGCAATCGGACTAAAATATGTTACCAGCATAAGGAAATACGCAGAAGGGGGAACCTCAAAATGAGTACATATCATGCAGACCGATATCACTACTACTGACAGTCTCTAAGCTTTTCAAAAAGTTATTACTAAAAATAATAAAACCCATTGTAGAAAATATGAAACTCATCCCTGACTACAATTTGGATTCTGAACAAGACATTCAATAATAGACCAAATTCACTGAGCAATGAATGTAATAGAAAAATCATTTTAAAAAAAGTTCTATCTTTTTTATGTCTCACTGACTTTGGCAATGCTTTGACCATTGATACTTCGCTCGTAGCAGGTATATATCAGTTCCTACCTAATAAATATTTTAGAATCAAACAAAAAGACCAATATTCAGAACTAAAAAAGTAAGTACAGGAGTGGCACAGGGTAGCATACTAGGTCCAATATTTTACTCGTTATCTACCAGTGATTTTACAAAAATGGATGAAGTAAAAATTGAAACATATTCAGAGGACTCCAACATCCTTCAAAAGGCAAGGTTACAACGAGATAAATGGATGGACAAAAAATGGAGGATCAGACTCAATCAGAATTAATTTGCATGTATAAATTTTACAAACAAAAAATTGGACTATGTTCCGTCTCTCACTATTGATTGACCTATTATATCATACAGCAATATATCCAAATATCTGTGAATGACCTTATATGCCAAGGTGAAAGAGCACGTGAAGAAAGTTATTGAGGCATCAGGCTTTCAGCTAGCAGATCCTGTGGTCATGGGTCCGATTACAACTGTCGCCACTGGACCTTTTTTCTGACGCCTAAGGGGACCAGTGGCTGCAATGAAAATTAACATGTCAGGGGTGGGATTTGATCTCAGCGACCCTGAATTTGGTTAGTGGTTCATCCCTAACCATCCATATCCATCTTTTGAAAATGAGTTTCTTCAATGGAAGAACATCGGCACACTGGGGGCTCAATTCACATACCTGTTCCGAGCTTCCAATAATGGGACCAGGAAGGAGTACAATAAGCTGTATAGAGCTGTAGACATCAGGGGAACCCTCCAGTTTCTGGTATCAACCACAATAAAATAAATAAAAAGTACATTGCATTAAATCCATACTAGTGTATATTTGACAATAATAGTAAAAAATTTTGTAATGTAATTTCTATGTCAATACAAAAAATTTAAGGATCAGATTTTGGTTTGTTTATTTATTTGTTCATTATTTTCATTTCTAAGAGTTGGGTACATAATATGTAACTGCGTTTCCAACATTTTAAATTTAACTACCTATGTATATCGTTTATAAGAACCAAGTTTTTAAGTCCACTGGATGTTCTTATAAGCAATTTCCATTGCCCGTTCAGATTTTCAATTATTCCCATCTCTACAAAACTCTATTACATAATAGGAAAAACTTCATTTCACTTGAAGACTGAAAAAAACTCATCGAGAATTTCATCACTCAAAAACCTCAGAAGTTCTGGGAGGTCGGAATTATAAAATACATGTAAGATAACAACAGTAAGTGGATAAAAATTGTTAATTAAGTTTGTTTAAAAGTAATCAAAAAATGTATGGACTTAGTTTATCACCCATTGCAATAAAGAATAATTTTACCTAAACACCCGTTGAAACATTTCATTGCCGCCCCAACAGCCGTTTCAAGTTGAATTACATTTATATTTCCTTGGATCGTTTTGTGATTTACAATGACTTCCATTTTCAGAGAGTTGTCACTCAACACCCGACTAATTGCTAGACAGACAAAAATTAGAATGTTTATTATTAATTATGCTAAAAATTAAATATATATATTAAAAAAAAAGAAAAAAACGAACCTGGTAACTTAACCCAGAGGTTGTTTGTATTGAAAAACTTGAAGGTTTTGATTGATTTGAATTCATCAATATGGTCTTTAGGGACTTGCGCTATTTCAAGAAGTCTCAGTTTATCTTCATATTGTATCAGAGTGCCTCCCTGTAAAACATCTAAGTTACATAATTATTTGGGCAAATTTTAAAACCAATTTACCTTAACATCGGCCTTGGTCTTGTCTGTGACTTCCATGACGAATTCAGGCGAAGTCCCCTCACCAGTTTCCATGTTCAAAAGCATATTGAGTATGTTTAGGTCAACCGTCGCTCCAAGGTTGTCAATATTGGAAAGGAAACAGTATTCTCTGCCCTAACCAACAAACATTTTTCTTTATTTTATTTGTCATTAATTAGTTTCAAAGGTGAAAAGATTTTGTACTCAAAACTTACTTGCTTTATGAAAGTATCAAGAAGACCAGAACTTTCAAATGAGGTGTAAAAATCACCATGACCAGGAGGATACCAACTATTTACAAAAAAAGGACAAAATTAATTATTTGTTTATGTTAAAAATAATAATTACATACGCTTCTAAATGTTCTTTGATGTTGCTGTGTTTTGGTACAGGCAGCAATGTTTCTTTGAATATTCTAGGATAGCAGCTTTGACTGAATGTATAAATTTCAACTTGTAGCCCAGCATATTTTCTAATGATTTTTTTCGTATCTTCATCCGTGTTAAAAGAATTCATTAAAATCAATGGAACATTTGCATTGTATGTTTTGTTCAAATGCTACAAAAGATTAATTGCACATCAGGCAGCTCTATGATTGAGACACAATTAGAAAATTACCTGGATTTGCTGGACGGTGAGATCAAGGAATGAGAGTTCATTTCTCACCACTATAATTGATTTTGGCCCATGGCAGCCCATGCTCGTTCCAAGGCCTCCGTTGAGTTTTATGACGACAAGTTTATCAAGCATTTTCTTAATAGCATCTAGGTCCTCAGGGGGCGAAAGAGAGTTGTAGTCTTTCACGGCACCAGGAGGCAGTTTCTCTATCTTCTTCCAGTCTATCGCTGGGCCCTTGGCGTCTTTGAGGAAAGTGTCAAAAAGGCATCTGAACCCTGCCATCTCTTTGGCACAGGCCTCTTTATGCTCATCTTGTGAGCTTTCAATGATTATACTAAGCTCAGATTGTAGCCTATTCTGAGCATCTCTTGTGGTCACTTCATGGAACTCTTTCGAACCCGATGGCACCCTCTGATGGCCTCGTCCCTAAAAATATTAAATTAAACTATAACAATGATAACTATAATGAAACTATAATATAATAATAATTATAATAATAAACTATAATGAAATATAATGATGATAAATATAATAAAGGTTTTGCGAAGGGGACAATATTGGTCGAATGGTTAGGACTTCCAATTCATATTTACTATGCTAGTCGTTCTAAGTTCGATTCCCAGCATCTGACTTTTTAATTGATCATAATATGAAATAAATATTGTAAAGTGGTTTGACCGCTCATCCACAACCCAAGGGTAATCGGATACTAAACCATCCTGAAAGGGGTGTCAGTGGCTGCAATAAGATGTTGACATGGCGCTCATCGCTATAAGAGTCATGAGTTTGAATCCAGTGGCCCTGAATTCAAACCCAACATATTTACAAATCAGCTTTTTTCTAAAACCCTGGCGGTTGATATTTCTTCTGTGAACCCTCGAAAAAAGAAAAATATTTAAAAAATAACAAACACGATTATTTCAGCTTCAATGATACTTTTTTCCATAAACCTAAAAATTAATAATTTTTTAATTTATTTAAAACTAAAATTTGCAAGCAGTTCATCCTAGAACATCCCGGTTTGCTTAATCTTGCTGTATTTTCAAAAAATTGCAGATTAGCCCAGAAGACATCATAAGGGGAATAATTTCGATGAGGTTCAAAGAAAATAACTATCAGTAAAAGATTGACACTTTTGAATATGAACATAAATCAACAGTAATTGATCCTAACCGATTGTCTTAGGCTGACAGACCAACCCAGCGAGGATAGGTGAGCAATGATGTTCGGTAAGGAGCAATGGTTCAAGAAGAAATCTCACAATTAATCGACAGTGCTGATCCTGCTGACTAACAAACATAAAATATTACTGGGGAAAAACATTAAATCATATATAGGTTATGGGAACTAAAATTGCTCAACCTAAAATCAGCTAAGCGGAAAGCAGCATAAAAAAATAATGAAATATTTTTAAAGGTAAACATATAAGCTATGCTGTTTGTGCTCAACTGAAGGACATATTTTCATAACCATGCTATGAATGTTCATGCTAAACATAGTCTGTCTTGATTAATTACATGTAGCATAATGGTCTCTGATTGGCTTAGTGCTGGTTTGGTTTGCCAAACAACTTCAATCACCACCATGTAAGAATGTCTTAATTTAACATAAGATAATGTATATTTAACACAGCATTATTATTATTCATGTGCTGACAGAGAAATTAATTGCTAATATTGAACATTAAACTTTTAGATAAGGAATTGGACATAAAATGGAACAGATGGAACAATTATTGGAACTTGACTTCAAGAGTCAAGTGGGTCAAGATGTCAGAGGTTAATTAGATTTGACCGATGAGTTCAGCTTAAGTAGAGATTTGATTTCCCAATCTGAGGACATAGTTTAATTTCATACATCAACTCATGGTCTTGTTTTTATTTAAAAAATTTTTCAACTTTTTTTACTGTGTAATTCCCTCTCTTTATTTTCTTATTGGTAAAAAAAGTTTTATTATTTATGATGATATTTCAACCAACATAAAACAATATACTATATAGTTCCGAGTGGTTCTCTATTAGTCTGAGTGGTCTTTTCAATATGAATAACATTTAAATGTACCTTGATCATCCCCAATTATTCTGGTCTGCCTATAATCACTGATTAATGTAATAAATTAATAAGAAAATTAACTACAAAATCATTAATAATAATAAACCATATTATTTTGTATGTGGTTTTGATTGATCAAGAATAACCCTAAAATAACATTTTTTAAACACAAACCACTGGACATGAAGATTTTTTAATAAATTAAACAAAAAAACTGTGTAGAAGAACAACTAACATTGATTTGTTAACTATTTTCTTATGTGTGGTAATGTCTCACGATTTCTGAATAATTATTTTCTTATGCTAAAATAAAATCATAAAAGATGTCACTAGACCCGAGAAAGTAGTTGTTCTTACTTGTCCAGCTTAGAATAGACCAAATACAGGCAACAAACACCCTAAATGTCCAGGAAGCAAAAAAAGGTTGGTCGATGTGTCTTGAATTGTTTGTCATGTCACATAATAAGAGAATTATTCTATTTATTTTTAATAAATGAATTTCTTTTAGTCTGAATGCATATTGTATTGAGGGTTGATGGTAAATACTGAAACCCCATCGACCCTCCAATTTACTTTATGTTTATGCAGATGTGTGAAATAATTTTAGTTTTTATTTTTCAATGGGGGGAGAGACCTAGTTGTCAGTAGACCTAGAACCTAAACAAGCAGGCCAAGGTCTAAGGTTGGCAACAAACTGGAACCTGAGTCAGAAGATTTGTTAGGATGTCTAAAGAATATGTTCTTTTATTAATGATTTTTTGAGAAGAAAAATTAGTGTCATGAACGGGACTTCAAGGCGCGACCTTCGGCTTTGTGGGTTCAATCCCACCTGTGACACTACTTTTTCTCCTGAACCATTTTTGCATAAAAATTAGAAATATAATAATAATGTTAACTAATTAAATAATTAATGAATGATCAGAAAAACCATTGATAATTTACAAAGCATAATTAAACAAATATTAAATTTAAACTGTTTTTTCACTGGCACTCTCAACACAACAGACAAGAATGACACATCTACACAGAAAACAAACACTTTGAGTCCTGAAGATGATCTCAATACAGATCTCAAAACGTTGGCACGATAAAGAAAATGTTTTTCTAAAACCTACGTCACACCAGACCACATCTCACGATCTCCGAATATCATTGACTAACGGTCACTAAACACACCACACATTAAATTTAAATAGGAAAATTAACTTTCTTATACCTAAAATTTTGAAAATCTTCAGAATTTCAAAAGCACAATATGAAATCAATAGTAATAAAATAAATGAACCTGGGAAAGTTATATGCTTATTGCTGATCTTGAAAAATTGTAACATTTGCATGGATTGAGAGGAAAATTGCCATAAAGCTATAAATAATAAAATAACATTGCCTTGCCAGAATGTATTGTCTGATGAGGAATAAAAAGATGATTTTTTTTAGTTTACAAATTTAATTATTAATACAATCTAATGGGCCCTTTTTGTATTATTTGAATCTATGTTTTTAGCATCAAATCATCAAGTTTGTATGAATATTTTTTTATTTACTGTACTGTTTACTTTAAAAAAAGAATAATTCAACTCAGACATATGATGAAAGCCATGTCAAATAAGCTTTGTATTGTTTTGTTTTTGAATTTTTTGTGGAGTAATGTATACTTACAAATAAAACTTTTTATCTATCTATCTTGTCTGTTAAGGAGAATTAAGCCAAATTTCCTAGATTAAGCACTGAATGATTCTAGAGGTGTGTCAAACATTTACATTTGTGGTATCCAACACAGTATGTAAATTTTAAAAATAAAAATATTTAACGATGAACTAGATTCTGCTGGATACAAGAAGTCTTTTCAAAACAGAGAAAACTTCCTTACGGTTTTTGCCGAGCTTTCGACAATTTTATACTTAGTCAATATTTATTTAAAAAAATGCTATTGGTACTAATTCGAATCTGGAATATAACCCATGACTTATATATGAATAATATGAAATAAGGGATTATAAAGTGATTTGACCCATCTGCAACAAGGGTAGGTGGACAATAAACCCTCCTATATGACAGGAATTAATTTAAATTAAAAGAACAATGTGAATATAAAGACACATAACTTAACCATGTTACCTAGAGACTATGAAGAATAAAACAATCTGTACTATAAAAAAAAAATATTATCTTTGTGAAAATATTAAAGTATCAGAAAATTGATCACAATGATAAAGACAGAAATAGATTAATAGATAAAGAAAGAAAGAGAGATATTTACAGGAGTTAACTGCTAATCTGGAAGATTTTCAGATAACTAGTACATGGATATTGTTCTATAATTAATCGGATGCGCATAATTCAACATAAAGAAAACAAATTTGTGAAGATTTTCGTTGATAACTTTGTAAAAATTTTGTCACCTACAGCCTACAGCTAATAGAACAACTTTGCAGGCATTATTAGCTAAATGTTTCATCTTTTCAAGCAATCTTTGATCAAAAACATCATTAATTGTGAACAAGATATACATACTGACGAAAATATTCTATGACAAACATCCATTAATTTGGTGTCTTAAGTTTAAAGGAAATAAAACTACACTAAAAAATTATACATAATAAATTTGTATTGTAAATGCATACAATAGGAAAACATTTATTTCATTTTTTTTTTAATTATGGAATAAACAGCATTTTTTAAATAAATTACTTTTTTTAGTGATTAAAATCTTTCTTCTACAATAAACTAATCAACTATTGACTCAATGGCCTATATTAATCCCCTAGTATTGAAAGCATGATAACAGGTCAAAAACCTTTAAAATAAAAAGTAATTTATCATTTAAATATTTTATGTGCAACAGAATCCTAAGTGTTATTTAAAATTAGTTTTTGGCATTTGCTGGCAATTTAAAGAAAATTAATGATGCATGACAAATTTTTAAAATCATTTATAAAATGTCCAAATACCTTGTTAATTACATCTTAAACTCCTTCAAGTGGCATGGTTTAATATCTTAATCTAATTGTAAGTATTGAAAAAAATCATAAACGACAAATATTGCCTTTTTTGTCAACTTCTAGGCTGATTTTTTTTTTTAACATCTTTAATCTTTATCAGGAAGGTTCATAAATCTGGCTGTAAAACAAATATTGCATTGGATCAAGGTCTTCAGACAACATGCCTATTATTAAAAAATTATTAATTACATATAAGATTTAACTTTTTTTGTTCGTTTGCATTTTAGAGGAAATATTACACAACTTGTATAATTGTATAATTATCACGTTCCATTTTATGTTTAAGCATATTAACTCATGCTATAATAGTAATGGCTGAAGAGCTGACTTCATAATGCGAAAATGAAGGCTGAAGAACAAACTGACTGTACAAATTTATTTTTCACCTAAAACCTGCAGAGGAGATATAGAATTTACGTGGATTTTCAACAAGCAAGGGTTGAAAGAGAATTCCTTTAACTGTCGCATATCTTTTAGTATTTTTTGGTCGACAGAATGACAGACTCGACGAGGAAAAGTACTTTCGTACTTGCCTGGGTCACGCAATCCGGCAGATTGACACCGGAGAATCTCCTCACGCCGAGTTCCATGTCACCTCCTCAGTGGAATCGCCGGAGAGACTAATTTCGAGATAGATCCGTTTCGCTCTTATCGGCGGAACGACTGATAAATTGAATCCCTTCCTTCGATATGGGCATTGTCGTCCGACAAAAAGCTTACACACAAAACAAACAACAAAAATTGCCACTTTGAACAAAAATCCGAGCTTACCTCTTCTTGAGAACAGCCGTTGTCCGTTCTCGGGTAATGCTCGGGTTGCCTAAAACTCCCCCAATTGATCTGTGAGAGCATTTTCAATGTTGCTAAAAAATGTACCTCTACTGGCACTAACTACTCTAACCGAACCTGCGGCTAATGCTTAAACTTTAAATACAACTAAAAAAGAACTTTTCAACAACACAATAACATGTGATTGATGTACACACAAAAACCAAATGTGGATCGTACAAGAAAGCCAAAAGAATATTTCAACACTTAAAAAAAATTACATACAAATGACGTCTAACTCCTCCATCGGAATAAATCTTCGGGATATATGCATCAATTGCTTTGATTGATTTATTTATTTTACGGTTTCCCAATTACAAATGCATGCAATAAAAGTAAAAAAGGGGCGTCGGTGGTCACAATGGTTGATCGCTCATCACTGTAAGGTAAAGGTCCAGGGTTCGAATCCAGCGGCTTTGCATTCCCCAACATACAAATAAGCTATTTTTCAAAAACACCGACAGTCCGAGAATTGATATGATCTCTGTTGTTGCGAACCCTCGGTATTATATATATATAAACATGGAATGAAATCCGTCTGTCGTCGGACAACGTTGTAAATTGTCACACATAATTCGAAAATCGAAATTAAACGTAGAACTCTGGTAGAAATGTATGGTGATTAGTGACCGTTAATCGATAATTATTCAGAAATCGTGAGATGCGGTCTGGTGTTTTTCGGAAGTCGGTATAGAAAAGACATTTTTGTATAAGGCGTCGGCTTCTTTGAGGTGAAAAGAGCCGACGAAGGGAAAAAAACACCTTATACAAAAATGTCTTTTCTATACCGAGTTCCTTCCCCATCCCTTCAAAATCCAACGTATATAAACATAAAACAGCAAAATCTCACTGGCACTCTCAACACGACACGCAAGCATGGCACAATTACACAGAAGACAAACACTTTGAGTAGAAATACTTTGATTGAATATAAAAAAATATATTTTGCATTGTATAAATTCACTTTTTTCCACATCCTACATGTATTTGTTAAATGTAAACAATGTTTGTAAATCCCAGGTCCTGAAGATTATCTCAATAAAGATCGAAACGTTGGCACGATAAAAAAAATGTTTTTCTCAAACCTACATCACACCAGACCGCATCTCACGATTTCTGAATAATTGTAGAACTCTGGATATCCATGCATTAATTGTATTACATAAAAAGAATAGAAATAAATACATAGAAAAGTGATATAGAACATTAGCTATTTTAAAATATATGATTGTTCTATTTAACGAAGGAAAAATTACGAGTAAATACGAAATTAAACGTTAAATCCCTGCCCTAAATGGAAAATATACTTCCAAGAGTGGCGAGCATACCGTGTGAGAGACCGAGGATTCCAACCATTTAATAGCTCAATGATTTGGACTCTAGAGAGAGTGAAGTACCCGAGATGTAATTACTCCTGAAAACGAACACTCAACTAGGAAGTGAAGAACTGTTTCAATTGACCGCGAGTTGCAAATAGAACAGAGCCCATCTCTCCATCTAACCCAAAGAGCTGAGTTTAAATGAACTTCGCAACAAAGTTAAGCCAACGAGAGATTGATTGAGGATTGATCACGGCGTAAGCATTCGGTTCTATGATACTATTTTATTGCAGACAACAAAGTTGAAAAGAGGTTTTCCATTTATGAAGGGTTGAGGTGGCTAGGGAGAACTTACACCTAAGGGCGGTGCTAATCCTCGGTATTGGCGAGTCTGCACATCACTGGGGCAATGAGAACAACCCCTTACGGCTGCCTTGAAAGTCATGAATCTAATACCACTCACATCTTTATCCATGGAGATGCCAGAGTCACAATTCATAGGCTGATGCAGGCTCCAATAGCCTACTCACACAACAAGGAGCAATTAAAGCTTTGAGGGGAGCTTCAGCTAGACAGAACTCTGAGATTGCCTGCTGATGCCATGATCCCTAAATTCAATTTTGACAAAATCTTTCTAGTCAAAATACCTTGACTGGGAGAAAGGGATCCCATTAATACCGACCATACTGCAGGCAATTATGGAAATAAACCAAGGACAAGAATTCATATAAGCCTTGGACAATATGCCACATTCTTTCAAGTGGAAACTGTGGTTATTGAACACTGTGCCAGAGATAAAAAGGCTGGGGATCGTTAATAGACGGATAGCCATCTATTCAGGCAATCAGGCTGCACTGAACGCAATTGCCGCATCGATGGTAAAGTCCAGAGTCGTTTGGGACTGCATTAGAGCTCTGTCAGAGATTGGGGAAAATAACAAAATTACCCTTGTCTGGGTGCCAGGACTCACTGGGCAGAGGGGCAACGAAGAGGCCAATAAATTGTCCAAGGAAAGTTCGATGACGATACTTATTGGCCCATTAGACAATAATAAGTCCTCCGCTCAATGGGAATGTAGCCCAGGACAGAGGCATACGAAATCATTTTACAGAAAAATAAACTATCGACAGAACTACTAAATCTCGGACATGCTAGTTCTAGAATTATAGTTGAACTGCTAACTGGACACTGCAGACTCCGGAGGCATATGTATAGACTCGGAGTAGCAGAAACAAGCCTGTGCAGATATTGCCAAGAAGAAAAAGAAGAAGAACAACAGAACAAGTCCTCTGTTGGTGCGAAGGCCTATGTAGGCCGAGAGGCCTAATCCTAGGGGAGGAAAATTAACAAACGAGATACGATTAAATGAATGGATGGTTAAACGAGAGAGTGAATGAATGGATGCACGAAGGAATGAGAGATGAAATGGAAATGGGGGGGGGGATTGTACGAGATAATCAGAAAGAGGAAATATATGATTGAATAAACAATAGAACGAACAAATAAATTATCTAAAAATGAGTGAATAACAGAATGAAGAAATGAGTGAATAGTTGAACTAGTGAAAGAGTGAAGTAATGAAAATGAGAATGCGTGAATTAAGTGTATGTTTAGTCAGTCACAGCCCGCAGTTGTACTTACAAGGTCTAACAGATAATTGTGATGTCAAATTTCCACACTAATGATGTTGATGAGAATACATAATTCAAATAATGACTGTAAGTCTGTTTAATCATTTTCCATGTTTAGCAACATGTACAATGTTTTTCCCTTTATTTCAGCTCAAATTCCTTCGTTCTTAGCCAACGGGTCCCTGAGGTTTTGTACTAAGCCCAGCCTTAAAATCAATACAGCTAAAATTTTATCTGCCCAAAATATTTGACATGCGATTTGACATCCAATACTTATTTTGGAGCCAATTTCACGACTGCATTTAGCCATCTCACAATATATTTTTCTTTTTACCTTGTCAATTTCGACCATTCTTAGCAAGATAAGTTGGCCGTCAAGGATTTGCAATAAGCCCATCGTAATTAGCATGTAAGTTCTTCCAGACCAAAATGACACTATTGTTAGCACACATTTATAAAACTAATAAATTAAAATTGATCAGACCGAGTGAAGAATGAATATTGGTTAAATCTTTTATAAACAACAGGTAGAAAAACTGTTCCAGTTTATGCTCGTTTATCATGGAAAAATTTACCAATTTTCTCAATTATCAACGTTTTACGAGTATTAAAAAAAAGGCATAGTATATATGTACAATGAAATTGATTGAAAAATAGTTGTTTGCATCAAGCAATGAGTCGGCAATATTTTTCCCGATTATTCACAGTTCGTTCCCAAGGCCGAGGCTAATTTTCAAGGCAGGATGAAATAATGATGCTTTTTAGCTACCATCGGTTTTCATTAAACTAACACTTATACTCAGAAACATTTGGCTATGTAACAGGTTGAAACAAGAAGAGAAAAGCTTGAACATTTTCAGCAAATCGTATTCCCTTGTGTTTATATGTTTCATAGTAAAACGTTAAATCATTTTTATTATTTTAAGTTTTCGTGAATATTTAAAAGATAGACTATATAAAACCCCATAAAATTACCGTTTTGGATGATCCATGGAGCCTAAAATAAAAAACCTAAGGCAAATAAAACAAATGTACATCATTTCATGTACTTTCAAGCTGTCATTCTTAAAATATCATCGCTTTTTGATCAATAATCTCGTGTAATAAAGATTTTTCTTATTTAAAAAAAAAAAATAATTTTTATTGCTGAGAATAGGCTGAAAGTGATCGTAAAATTCGAAACTATTAGACTTGTACAACACAAATACCATTAATTTTTAACGTTCGCGTGTAGAAATGTCAAAAGGATGGGAAAAAACAGTTCCAGCTCATTCATAAATCATGAGAAACCTTTGTAGTACAACTTCCGCAGGATGTGTTTATAAAGGGACGTAGTTGCGTAGTTCAAAATAGCTATGTCAAAACCAAGATGTATAGAATATAGCACAACGTTCGGCTGTTCCATCAATGTTTCTTTCGTGAATTTGTGTCCATTAATTTTTAACCAGGTTACATTTGATTATCCGTTTTTAAGTGACACCTCCAAAAATCGTGGATCTGACGTGAAAGTCGTCAAAGAAGATATAAGTACAAAATCAATGAAGTTCGCAGGTTTAAGGCCGTCTAAAAAGTTGGCGAGGGTCAACAGGTGTACAAGCAAAACTATGAGGCATGAAGTTTCAAGCCGCCCAAAAAATAAATAAAAAATAAAAATAAATAAATAAATACACAAAAAATAAGTAAATGAATAAAAAAAAAAATAAGGGCCTGGATGTAATTTTGGTTTTAATTGGGTGTTCGGTACACGTCTGCTGGATAAATTTAAACTTTTTTTAGGGGGGATTAAGTAAGGACTTACTTAATATGCCCTATATAGATTTATTGTGGAACGCCTATTATTAAGACCGAACCGTTGAGTGGTTTTTTCATTATAAAATTAAGCACTTTTCTTCCTTTTCGCGCACTTCTCTTGGTGTCAGAATTGCCTAACCGTAGTGAATATTCCACAACGGACTAATGTTTCATATTCGCAAAGGTATGTCCCGATGTATCTGGTTTCTCTCTTGACATAGACGGCATGTTACTGTATCGGCTATGCCCATCTTATTTACATGGTAGTTAAAGAGAGCAGTACAGGAGTATGTAATTTTTCTCAAATGTTACGTGCTGGGACAGAGAAGTGCTCCTTCGCCTTCCTTTTTGATAGCTTCATTATCTATGCATGCCTCATACCTGGTGCTTAAGC